AGTTAGAATTTAGTAATAATTAATTCTAAATTAGTTCTAAATACTACTTATAATATACTATAGCCTTTTTGCCAGCCTTTAAGTAGTAGTATTAATTCTAAACTTAGTAGTCTTTCTGCTATTTTAGTAGTAAGTAAGAGCTTAACTATATATTATAATAGTTATACTTTATGCTTTTTATAAAGTAAGTAGCAACTTATATAATATTAATATTAAACTATTATAAAATTCTATTAAAATCTAGCTAGAATAAATTATAATTTAATTATAAATTACTTACTTTACTATTCTCTTTATAAAGTACTTTAAGCTTAGTTAATATCTAGTAATTTTAAGATAACTTTATAAGTATATAGAGATTTATATTTTTACTAAGTACTAGTTTCTTTAAGTTTTAGTAGAACTTTATATATAAGTTAATTAGTATAAAGTTAAAATTTAATATAAAATATATAAATAGCTGCTTAGTTATTAATAGAAAAGAAAGTACTAGCACTTAACTATAATACCTCTACTTTATATACTATAATAAAATATTTCTTTAATAAATAAGTTAAAGAAAAGTATATATTCTATAAAGTATAAGTATTAAACTTAAATTAAATAATAATTAATTTTAATTAAATTCTAACTTATAATATAATATATATAGCTATTCTCTATATTTATATAGTAAAAAATCTTACTAACTTTAATAATAAAATTACTTTATATATTAAATTTATAGTTAAAAAGACTAAGCTAATACTTATCTCTCTCTTTACTTATATACTACTAAAATGCTTTCTAGTTTAGAATTTAATTAGAGTTAATTCTAAGTGTATTTAGAATAAATTCTAAAGGGAATACTTATAGATTCTCTATAATGCAATATTATTTTAATAGTACAGCCTTAGTTTAATAAAAGATATAAAGAAAAAAAAATTTAGAAAAGAGCTATAGCTAATATATTAAAATTTCTAGACTTACTTTTTATAAATATTTTATATAATTTAATTACATTTTATAATGATTTTCTACTTAATTAAAACTTATTTTACTTTATTTTTTACTCTACTAAGAATAGATTTCTTAAAGAAAATCTAACTAATTAAAATCTATTATACCCCCTTATCTCTCTATAGCAATAGTTAGGTTAGGTTAACTACAATAGTCAGGTCAGCTCAGGTAGGCGAGCAATAGTCGGGTCATCTACACTCTCCCAACGGCCAGTCTCCAGAACTAGGGAGTAAGCGTTCGGTAGTTTAAGTAGTTTGTACGGAGTAAGTTCCAGGTTGGTTGGTTGTTGGTTTGGACGCAAGAGCCGCGCAAGGGTCGTGGTACATGGATGACCCAAGGCCGGCAGTGCCACTGCCCCGCGAGGCCGGCGCTGGAATTGGACGGGCTTGCCATTGGCGGCGGACAGCCACGGGCAGGGAGTCGCAGCGCAGGAGAGGAGGAGCATGATGACGAGGGCGCAAGGGGGGTTTCAGGACGCCTGTGCTGGCGTGATGCACCGCCTCACATCATACATGTCTCGATGCGTCACGGAAACGACGAGGGCCAGGCTCGCCCGGTGCCGGGCCCAGTCCCCGAACTTGTGGTTGGGAGCGGCCCCGTCGTCGCCATGTCTCACCCAAGTCACGGACGGTCCAGGACGCCGAAGCTGCCCTGCGCGGTGCCCCGTATGGCGGTGGGAGTCTGTGTCTTGGGGAGAAGACGCTCTCGGTGAAGCGAAAAAAGGCAGTGGTCTCGTCGTCCTGTCGTCTCGTTCTCTCGACGTCCCCGTCTCGTCTCTTCTCGCTGGAAGGAGTGACGAGCAGCAGGGCGTAGGAGTAGCAGATGGCACAGGGGGCGGAAGTCAAAGGCGAGTTCTTGATGACGTGAGCAGACGATGTTCTGGGACTTGTTAGCAGTTTGCTGTTGGGAACGGAACTCAGCACGATGAAATGAAGGGACCGGATTGACTGACATGTGTGCTTTGGGTCTTGCAGAATAAACAAAGTGAAAATGAGAACAAGAAGAATTCTGTTTGCAGCGTGAAACGTAAAAAAGTACCCATGTACTATCTTTACTTATCCACGGCCACGACCACGACCACGACCACGACCACGACCACGACCACGACCCTGCTGATCCCGATGCCACCCCGGGCTATTTTTGCCGTGGGCCTGGCTTGGGTGAAGCATTGGGCTCCGGAGGCGTGGATTTGGATGGTTTTGTTTGCCTCTTGGATTGGCGGCGTCGTGGGCGTCGTGGCTTCTTGGCTGCTTGGCTTCTCGGACCATTCCATGGCTGGCTGTTGTACGCAGCCAGCCAGGCCACTGCGCCGGCTGCCAGTTGCCAACTGCCAACCGCCAGCCGGCTGCCAGCTGAAGACTTGAATTTGGACCCCTGCCTTCGTCACCGCCGTCACCCCACACGCACACGCACACGCACACGCATACGCACCATCACCCGCACCCTCATTCATCCTCACCCTCCTCAACCTGCCTGTGCCCTGGCCTGCGTGCGCATGTGGACGTCGTGTCATCATCCCCGGCTGGCTGATTTTATCAACCCAAAGTATCTTCTCATCTCCCCTGGTCCCCTGGACTACGGAGTACTCTTAGCCGACGTTTGAACTGCCCTCACTGTTCTTGTTTCTTCCTCTTACCTTCTCCTCCACCGTACTCCGTAACCCTGCTGCCTTTTCTTGCCGGCCCTGGTTGCCGACATCAATGCTCGGAGAGCAGAGAGTGTTTGGTTTTTGACTCTTTCTGTTTTGGTTTGGGATTGGGTCGTACAGAGCGCTGCATTTGCCCACCCCAACTGCACAGAACACCGAGAGGCACACAGGCAATTGGCTGTCGACGGCCTGTTTCACCTCTTTTTGTTTCTTCCAATTTTTAATTTTTTTTTTGCGTCCTCTGAGGCTGGGTGCGCTCAAAGCAGTCGTCGCTCCCGCTTGCATACACACACCTCCTACGGAGTAACAAGTTAGTTGGCTGCTCCTCCCGACACGGACAGACAGACAGGCAGCCTTTCGCTCGTTTACATCCGCTCTCGCTCGTCCTCGCCCTCGCCCTCGCCCTCGCCCTTCCTTTCTCTGTTCCTTGCCCTCTCTGTCATTCACCACAGCTTTAATCCCAAGATGCGCTGCCTTTGAATGCGACAAGCATCGAAATACCTGCGCCCCGCCCCGGCATGGCTGGCGAGCTCGACTGCGAGGACCGCCTCGGCGGCCGGTCTCCTGGACGTCTCACTTCGTCATCCTCGACCGCAGAGCATCCGAGCTCTCACCCAAGTCGGAAACCTCTCGCCCGGAGACACGCATCGTCGACCCGTTTAGCCGTCGCTGCCGACCTTTACCGTGGCGATGCCTCGGCATGCTCTGGTCCAGCTCCCAGTCGCACGAATCGACCGGCCCCGAGCCAATTGATACGGCCGGCATCTCGATTTTCAACAAGTCTCATCGCTCCGTACCGACTTCTCACCATTCTCCTCTCCTTACTCCTCGCATGCCCTCCTGCTTCGGCCGTCAAAGTCAAGTACACCAACTGTCTCCCCGACTCGGTACAATCCCAGCAACCGCCGTTTTTGCAGTGGGTTCCCGTCGAAGCCCACGCCAAGTTTGACACCAAAAATGACACCCACAACTTTCAATTCATTGTTTGGGGAAATGTCACTGGCTCAGTGAACAAGCAGACGCTGCCGCCGCCAACTAGCCCTGACTGGGCCAACGACAACAGGACCGACGGCAAGATTGTCAACTCGGAAAACGATCAAAATGGCACCACCGTCAAGAGCTCCATCGGCATGCTTACCTATGTGCCATGGAGCGACAGAAAATTCTTTTGTGATGACGCCCTCGTTGGCGGTCACTGTCCATTGGCTCCGGTATTCAATACCACGGGCGAGGCGTAAGTCCCGACTCCGCACAGAACAGGACCCCCAACCGAGAGATGATGCCGTCGGAGCAGTAATCTGACTTGAGTAGGACCCTGGCTGATCTGCCGTCGATGAACATCACAAACGACATGCGCTCGTCGTATCAGTTTGCCTCCCTTGCGCCCACCATGCTCATCATATTTGGCAACCAGAGGGGTGACAACATTGGTTGCGTTTCCGCCACAATCACCCCGGATCTTGGGAATCTCGCATGGGTACTCAGGATTGTGCCTCTGATGGTGCTCATTTTTTGCGGCTCTGCCGTCGTGTTTGCTGCCATTTTCAGCCCATGGGGAAGCTCCAACATCTTCCACTGGACGTCAAACTATGGCCAGGACGCCGACCTGCTCCGGCTCGTCACTCCGGGTTTCGGAGACTGTTTGCAATACATCCAGTTCATCGCCCTGTCCGGCGCCCTGTCTCTTAGCTATCCCGGTTTCTTTCAGCCCGTCGTGAGCCAGGTTGCTTGGTCTGCACTCATGTTCAACGAAAGCGTCGTTACGCACACTCCTGGCTGGCAGAGCATCCGCGACGGCATTTACATCACAGACCCCCACGATGGCTACGGCCTGCATGCTCTTGGCCAGTTGGTTGGCATGTCTGAGAGTGCCGATATCTGGGCCGGAATGATGGTCTGGCTTTGCGTCATTATTGCTGCCGTCTTTGTCCTTGCTCAAGCTGGGTTCCTCGTCCAGTGGCTGTATCGAAAGATCCAAAACATTCCGGAAGAGGATCTCCGTGCCAAAAACATCCCCTTCAGCATAGGGAATGTCGTTCGAATCGTCTTCAACTTTTTGCTCATGCCGATTGTTGCCCTGTCGTGCTTTCAACTGGTTCTCGCAAGCGAATCACCCGCATTTGCCGTTGCCTTGGCCGCCATCACCATAGCAGTGCTTTTGGCCTTTGCCTGCTATATTCTTCTGCTCATTGTTCGAACCAGGCCAAAATCCGTCTTGTTTGATGACTTGCCCACCGTCTTGCGATACGGACCGTTGTATAATACGTACTCTGACGAAGCTGCCGCTTTTGCCCTCATCCCGCTTTTGCTCAACTTTGTTCGGGGCGTGGCCATTGGAGCCGTGCAACCTAGTGGCATTTCTCAAGTCGTCTTGCTGGCCATATGCGAAGTCATTCAGATTTTCACCATTCACGCGTTCCGGCCGTTCCATTCGTCCACGTCAATGAACGCCTATCATACGTTGTTTTCCCTCCTCCGACTCGCGTGCGTGCTTTTGATGGTCGCTTTTGCCCCCAGCCTCGGCGCCACGGAGGGTCCCAAAGGCTGGATTGGATATGCCATCTTGCTCATACACGGCAGTGTTCTGGTGCTTGGGTTCTTCTTGAGTGCGCTGCAAACAATAGTCGAAGTTGTAGCACGCTTGTTGGGCGCTGGAGGAGACGATGTCACTGGTCTCACTAGGGGGGGCCTGTCCAAGATTTTCGGCATGCGTCAACTGTCCAGGCGTGAAACGCACCGGACCTCGGCGCCTTCGAGAGCCAGCCAACTGTCGTCCATGGCAATGCTGCATGCTGAGGAAGGCACCAGCAAGACTGGCTACTCCGGACCGGGCAGCCGTCTTCGAAGTGTGTCGGGGGCTAGCTACGGCGGTATCGTCGCACAAAAGCAGCGGAGTAGCTCGGCCCTTGATAGCACTGACAGGTGGTCGGCCGGTCACCGCCATGTCGATACGAACAGCTCATACATTCCCGGAACCCCAGGAGAGACGAGCACCTTTTCCTTTATTGCATCGCCCACAGTCGGTCGTCCGATACTGGCCGGCGGTCACGTAGAGCCGTCCGATCCCTACTATCGGCCGCCACGCCGAACAGCAAACAACTCGAATCTGCGCGACTCGACGCATTCGGATTTACCACTCTCCAATGCGTTGGGGATTGACCCCAAGCAAGCTGCTCTCGCTCCGGCCACAGCAGGGGAGGGTGCAGACGTCACCGGCGAAGATACCACCCGGGCAGCAACACCTGCTCCTCCTGGTGCCGGGGGTGGCATCATGAACCTGCCTGCGAGCCGTCCCGACTACGCCACACGTGAAGTCGACTTTTACTACGGCGTGCGCGGCCCAGCATTGAACTCGGACAATCCCGGGCGACGACTGGGAACTGGACCAGCCGATCCCACTGGGCCCGTCGCTACCGCAACTGGCTGGTTTAGAACACTGTTCGGAGCCAAGAACAAGGAGAAGGGGAAGGGATTCGAAGTTGTCCGAAGCTCCAGAATGCCCCCAGACATGGTACGGAATGGGGGTTTTGGTGACGAGACCCCGCCGGAGGGTATTCCTGTTGCCATGGGCGTATTGAGAAATGGACCAATTGACTCGGACGACGAAGGTGATCTTCCTGTAAAGCGTCCCCCCAGGTCTCCTCAGCGAAGACCGGAAGACCTACTCACGGACGATGGTGATCCGCGCGACTCCGACTCCGATGACGACGAGGAAGAGGAAGAGATTGATCACTCCAAATTGCCTAGGGGATCCAAACAAGGTGAACTGCTAGGACTGAGCCTGCCGGATATCCCACGCAAGAGTTCAAAGAGAAACTCGCGCTTAATGGATGGCCGGCACCCACCGCCATTGTCCGCAATAAGTTCAGGATCTCCGGCGCCATCTGGCCGTCAGTCTCACGATGGAAGAGCTTCTACCAGGGGCCATACACAAACCTTGCCAGCGTCATCGGCCTTGCCCTTCGAACGAACCTCTTCACAGCAGAAAAGCCTCTCTTCCAAATCTTCCCTCGATTTTCCTGGCGAGCTGACAGACATCGACCTGCAAGGCCGCAGGCGGGACGAAAGACCTGTTTCTTACGGCAGGGTCCAGCAACATGAGATCAATCGGGTCGACTTCCCTCAAATACCGCCGCTGGACCTCCTGGGTAGTTCTGCCGAGCTGGTAGACGAGTTTGGCGGTCAAGACCGCCAAAAGTCACGTCACTCGTGATTCGTCGACGAGCACACTTGCAGAATAACCAGTTTGAATCGACACAACAGACGCCTCCTCCTTTTTCCTTTTTCTTTTTCTTTTTTTCCTTCTTGGAAACTCATGATGCAACAACTTGACGACTGACGGCCTTTTTATTGCATCGGGCTCTTTGTCAGTTACATGTGTAGACTTTTCCTTGGTAACCGCATCGGAGACGCGAATTTTACTCGGTATTGTAAGGTGAGATGGAGGACGATTTGCCCCCTGTGCCGCGCTGAAATTACGGACTATGCCTTGTCCGTGCGGCGACAGTGAGCAAGACGGACTCTTTGATTTCTTCATGGCGATGGGATAAGCGTCTTGTCTCTCTTTTTTTTTTAAATTCATATATTTCTTGTTGGCTACGCATCCTTCGCGGGGTTGGGCGTGACTTTAATTTCGAGGGGGGATAATTCCAAAAGCGCACTTGTTGGGTAGTCATGGTTTGCATAGAATGGATGGTTTGGGATTTGGTTCAGTCATTTGGCACATCATGGGTACTTGGGTAGGAAAAGATGGATTTCGTGGGAAACAAGCGGCAGCATCTTTTGACTTTTGAGCTGGAGGTTCATAATGAAAGTGCATTTTCCCTATTTCTTTATTCTTATTTTTTTCAAGTTTCTATCCATCTACTGGGTGTTGATGTTGTACATATTGTGCTTAGCCAGTAGTATTCAGAGCATTGGCATTGGCTTTTGGCATTGGCTCTACTTGACCGAGAGGAAGGCGATTCCTGACCTTGCCTTTTGAGCGGCCTTCCTAAGAGCCTGGTCCTCTGCATCTGTCCACTTGATGGATAACTCATCCCACTTCTTGCCCGGGGTGTGGTATTCCCTCCTCCACTGGGCGTGCATCTGTTGCAGCTGCGCCATCCTCCGAGGGTCTCCCGATCCGCTGTACACGATGATGGCCGTGCAGGGCGGCAGGGCGGCGTGGATCCGGACAAGACGCTCCGTCAGCCTTGTGAGGGCCTGCTCCAGCGGCGACGTGGTGGTGTCGGCTGCGGCGGCGTCTTGCGGCGGCCCGCCGTCGCTGCTGGTGTCTTGGACGCGGTTCCTGTTCCACCAGCCCTGGAGGGCCTCGAGCTCCCGCATCCGAGCCCATGTGAAGTCGACGCCGCCGCCCTTGATCTCCAGGCCGTCCGGGTCGCCGTTGACGGCGCGGATGACGTTCCGCGCGACGTCTTCGTCGGAGCGGCAGCCCAGCTGGTAGGTTGCGCCTGCGCCGAGGCCCTTTGACGGATCGCCCCAGTCGATGGCGGCGCTCGTCTTGCCCACCTCGATGCCGCCGAGAGCCGCGTCGCCGCCCTGCGCCTTGTACGCGGTGCCGGCGCGGGCGAGGCGGCGGAAGAGGTTCTCCCCCTGGGCGTCGGATGTGCCCCAGAGCTTGCCCCTTTCGCACTTTTGCTTGACGAGGTCGAGGCAGGTTCTGGCGTCTTCGATGCTGTTGTGGCCGTCGGCGCCGCCCTTTTGTATCTCGCGCGAGAGGTACTTCTGGGCGAGGTACTTGAGGGACGACTTGAGCGGGGTCCCGCGCGGGTGCGGGAACAGCATGGAGGTGTCGACGATGAAGGGGTGTGCGATCTGGATGGCTTTGGTGTCGGATTCAAGCGAGTGGCCGAGGAGGATGGTGCGCGGGTGGAGGAGGTCGAGCAGCTTGGCTTGGACGTCGCGCAGCGTCGTCGTCACCGGGGCGAGCATCTCCTCCGTGATGCCGGAGAAGCGCGTGACGTAGTCGGTGATGGGCTTGTCGGGCTTGACGAGTTCGTCGAGGACGACACTGCCGTCCCAGCTGACGATGCTGATGCGCGTGAGAGCGAACTCGTTCTCGCCCGTCATGCACATCTCGCAGTCCAGGGCGAGGACCTCCCGACCCGCCGTCATGCTGCCCTTTTGGATTTCGGCGTCGGGCACCTGGGCGTCTTGGAGCTTGTCGACCTTGGTGATTACCCATCCCTCTGGTGCGACGAAGTTGTCCCGGCGTTCGCCTTCCGGCAAGAGAGCCGGGTGGACAAGGTATCCATTATCTGCGAGTTCCTCGGCCGTCGCCAAGAATTGAGTAATGGGCGTCCTGTCGTTCTTCCATCCCTGAGGCTCTGGGGCCGGCTTCACACCGCCTGGCCTGGAAGTCTTCTCCTTGGGCGCTGGCGCCGTGAGGAAGGCAGCCATGGGCGAATGCATTTTGCCATGTCTGTCGTCGCCCGGGGTTTTCACCGGCCACAGGTGAGGGAACATGTCCGCAAAGGGGGCCAGCGGCTCAGGAAGCTTCTCCTTCTTTAGAGCGCGCGGGTAGTAGTCGTCGGGCGACGTGAGGACTGGCTGCTGCCCGCCGGGGTCGTCCCTCGCCTCGTTGTACGTTCCCAAGTCGACATTGTGCTTGAACATGGCCTCTTCCAGCCCTGGAATCATGATGGCGACAATCTTTCGGAAGTGCGGCCTGTGAGAGACGCCGATCCATTGCGGGCCGCTGCCGTCTGCAAATATGTATGTGACCAGGTCCCGAAGGTTGTTCAAGTTGATCTTGGACTGTAGCCGGGAATTGCTGGAGAAATTCAGCGCCGGGTAGCCTTTCCCTGGGCGCGGAGCCTTTTTCGCCTTTTTGCTTGGCCGCGTGACGACTTGCCAGTCGCCAGAATCCTTTTCATTGTGAGGACTGGTGCGCTTCAGGCTATGTTGAGAAGACGTCTCGGCTGCGTCTTTGGCCGATTCGGTCATGATCCTGGCTGGCGTTGCGTCTGGGGTAGTGACATTCGCGTTCTCGGGGGACGGCCTGTCGATGGGTTCTCGGACAGAGGTGTTGCGGCCTAGGAGTGATTGTGCGAAGTCCTTTGCGCGCTGGAGCTTCTCTCTGAAGCCTGCGATCATGCTCTAGCGTAGGCACAGCAAAGCTGGAGAGGAAGGAATTGTTTGTCGTCTGAAAAAAAAAAAGGGTATACTGCAAGGACTAAGGATACAGAAACACGGGATATTTGGCCGCGTGTGACTCGGCAAACGCAAAGCGGGAGAAACAAAAGTCGATCAAAAAGGTCAAGTCGATAAGATTATCTTATCGGACCCACGGACCCACGGCCCACGGGCAACCAGACGGCAGGAGCAGGCACTTGGGCCCCTTCCTCCTTCTGCTTCCTGGTGGGGGAGTTGGGGAGTTCACAGCGGGGCAGGCCCCTGGCAATTCGCCCAATGCTCAGCGCCTCAGAGGTCCCCTACAGCGCGCCGCGGCCTGGAACCAACTTCCATGCCCACATCTCGTCTCGTCCTGTTGATCCGTCGATGCCGCGGCACGTCATCCGTCACCGTCACGCAGCTTCGATGTTCAATGCTCCATCCAGCGTCTTCTTCTGCAATCCCACTCTTCTCGGCCACGCACTCCGTCGCTCTCCCTAATGAAGCTTGCAAGCTGGCTTGCCCGCTTGCTCCTTGCTAGATGACATGGACCGTCTTCCGCGGGAGCTGATAGATGCCGTCCTGCAGCAATGCATCGCCCACGGCCAAAAGAACGCTGTCCTCAATCTCCGCCTCGTTTGCCGCCTATTTGATAGGATCTTGAAGCCGTCTGTTTGCTGCACGCTCGGCTTGGACTTTTCACGAATGAGCCGAGCCAGCCACCTGCGCCGACCTGATATAGATGCCCTGCAGACCATCGGCTATCACTGCAAGAGCCTGTACATTGACCTGATGGTTCTCCGAGATGAGAGTGTGTATTTATTTCCCCGTCTGACTCTGACCCCTCCCCCCCCTTCAGCCCTGGATATCATTCTTGCACGCCCTACTGTTCTCCCCATCCCCTGCTCGTAACGGAGGCTAGCTAACTCGCCTGCTACAGTGGAAGTCGAATTCCTCGAGACAGTCTTTGCCCGAATCCCTTCAATGACAGACTTCTGCCAGACCATGCACAGGAAATACTGCATGAACGAAAGCTCCTTTACCGAAGTGGAATATTTCAACATGGTTGAGACGATGCTCTTCTACTGCCGTGGCGTCGACGCCCTTCGCCTCAACCTTCCATTCCAGCTAGTCGGGCGCCATTGCAACGCGGCCACCATGATCCTTGCCAACACGCTCAAAGCCTTTGCCTGTCGCCCCGAAGAGGACTCGGCCAACCTGAGGACCCTTGTTCTCGAAAACGTCACCGATGTCGCCATATGCCACCTCTGGATGAACCCGAGGGATGTCATGAACATCATGGCCGTAGTAGCCGTGTTGGAACACTTGGTCATGACTCTGCGGCGGCACGACGTTGAGCCTCATCGAGCCGGTCTGTTTGGCTCTTGCCTTTGGGACATGATTGAGCATGCCGACTCTCTCAAGTCGCTCTGCCTCGTGGGAATGGACCACGACGATCGTCCGCCGCGAGGGTTGAAGCAAACCAAGTTTTGGCAATTACCAATTGAAGATTGGAGGGCACGGTCCCTACCAGCACCGCGGGTCTATCTCTCCAATCTAACCAGCCTCGAGCTCAAACGAATGGAAATTTTACCAGAGTGTTTTTTGAAGGCGATGGAGATTTTTGGAGAGACCCTGGAAGAACTCTACCTAAACGAGGTGTACCTGAAGACGGAACAATCACGAACCTGGAACCAGGACTCGAGCAAAGTCCTCTGGATCGGCATGCCCAACCAACGGCCGGCCGAGGACTGCAAGTGGATGGCCATGACATTGCGGGCCACCGCATGCCGACTGCGAATCTGCCGAGCGTCCTTCCTCGCCTATGACCACTATCTCCGAGAGGACACGTCCACTCAGCCGCAGCCGGAATTTGATCTCATCGACCCATGCGGCCTGGGCCGCAGCGTATCCCAGCGATTTGTCGAAGTCGTCATGGGCATTCGCCAACCCAACATGCCTTCGGGAGAGGCAGTCGAATTCTGCCCCCACGATGCCGGGAACGACGTGCTCGTGCAGCAACTGAAGCCCAGAACCCGGCCACTGCGCGTTGACGAGTACGATACCAATGCTCACCAAAGTGCCGTGGACAATACCACGTCAGAATGGCAAAAGAGCATTGACGGCATATTTCATAATTGCAATTCGGGGACTCTAGATGAGCTGCACTACATTGCCGAAAAGGCCTGCCAGGGCATGAATGAGATTCATAGAAGACGGAGCGAGTGGACGGCTGGGAACAGCATGGCCAATGAGTACGTGGACAACTTGTTCAATATTCCGTCGGTTGAGGATGCGCAAGACCCAATGTAATGCCCAGCACGGGAATTGTTCATGGGAAAGAAGGGAGGGGAAACACGGTGCAGCAGGAATTTGCACACAACGGCGTCTTACTCTTGTGTTATTATTATTATTTTTTTTTCTTGGTGTCGGGTTCTACTAATCACGGGTTGATCCATATTGTCGCGTGCTGCATGGGGAAAATACCCAGGTGCTGTTCATGTGCCACGTTTATGTACATGAATAGATATATATACTATATCTATATATATACCAATGGTTACTGATTCGATGCAAACAAATGGACCTTGGTCGCTTTTATCAACAAACGGTGCTGTGCGTTATAAGTATCAACTTGGACTGTGTGACTATGCATTGCAGATTATGCCCTTGGCTTTGTCGGCCTCTAACTCTATTCATGAAACCCATTGCGTGATTTTTGGTTTGTTTCTTTAATTTCATTTCATCTTCTGTCACATCTCTCTCTCCCCCCCCTTCTCTCCCTCTCTCTTTTTCTTTCTCTTTCTCTCTTTCTTTATTTTCTTTCCCCTTCTTCCTCGTCTTCTTTTTTTTTTTTTTGGCGTATGTGTCTTGTTCCGAAGCGCGGAAAAGAAGAAAAAAAATGGCAAAAATATACCGGCCCCCAGTTTTCTATTGTCCATTGATACCGTTGGCAAGACGGTTTTTGACGGACTCGTTGACAGCAAGCTCGAGAGCCTGGAACACGTCGTTCTTGAGATCCTCGGCGTCCTCGACTCCGCAGCTCAAGCGGACGAGGTCGTCAAAGACGCCGACGGCCTCTCTCTGGTCGCGGGGGATGCCGGCGTGAGTCATGCTGCTGGGCAGTTCGACGAGGGACTCGACTCCGCCCAGGGACTCGGCGAGGGTGAAGATTTTGGTGAGCTGGCAGAAGCGTTCGGCTGCAGGGTGGCCGCCGCGGATACGGAAGGACAGCATGCCGCCGCCCATGCCGTCGCGGTGCTGCCTGACGGCGATGGCTCGGTGAGGGTGGGAGTCGAGGCCGGGATAGTTGACGGCGATGACGTGGGGGGAGGCCTCGAGGGCGTGGCCGACGGCGGTAGCGTTGCGGGTGGCCTCGCGGGCGCGGAGGTGGAGGGTCTTGAGGCCGCGGTGGGCGAGCCACGAGTCGAAGGCGGAGGGGACGGCGCCTATGGCGTTCTGGAGGAAGGAGAGGCGGGCCAGGAGGTCGTCGCTGTTGAAGGCGGCGACGCCCATGACGACGTCGCTGTGGCCGTTGATGTACTTTGTGACGCTGTGGACGACGATGTCGGCGCCGAGGTCGAGCGGGTTCTGGACGTAGGGGGACAGGAAGGTGTTGTCGACGACGACGAGGATGCCGTGCTTGTGGGCCTCGGTGACGACGGCGCGGATGTCGACGAGGCGGAGGGTGGGATTGGAGGGGGACTCTATCCAGACGAGGCGGGTCTGGTCGTTGATGTGCTCGCTGATGTCGACCTCGATCTCGGGGGTGAAGGTGACCTTTACGCCGTGGGCCTTGGCGACCTGGGTGAAGTAGCGATGGGTACCGCCGTAGACGTCGGAGACGGAGATGACGTGGCTGCCGGCAGCCAGGCTCTGGAGGATGGTGGCGGTGGTTGCGCTGCCCGAGGAGAAGGCCAGGGCGTAGCGGGCGTGCTCGAGGGCGGCGACGGCCGTTTCGAAGTTTGTCCGGTTGGGGTTTGAGGAGCGCGAGTATTCGTAGTCGCCGACCGGCTTGCCGACGGCCGTCTGGGCAAAGGTCGTGGAGAGAGAGATGGACTCGATGACTGCGCCGGTGTGAGGGTCGTGCGGTGATCCGGCGTGGACGGCAAGGGTGCCGAAGGCGTGGACGGGAGTCGGGGGACGCGGGGGCGTCGAGACGGGGTCAGACGTGACGGGAGGAGACATGACGGCGAGTGAAAGATGGAGAGCGGGAGAGGGAGGGTGGAAGTTTGTTTTCTTGCTTGATGCAGAGTCTGCCCGTCGGCGGATGGCAGCCGGATTCTTGGGCAGGAGACGGTCGCAATCGAAGGGCAGCGGGAACGCCGGAGAGGGAGGACGGATGGGATCTTATCCAGCTGGGACGAGACGGTATGGATATCATATAACGTCGATTGACTAAGTTATGACGCGATGCGGTAAGATTTGCTGTCTGCCTGTGGTGAGACCACGCAGATGCGACGGGCGGCTCAAACAATGACGAGAAAAACTGGGGCTGGCGGTCCACGAGTCAAGACGGTGATTGGTAATATGTAATATTCTCGTGATTACTGTCGAGTACTCCGTACTTGGGGCCCGGTTCCGGCAAGTTCCTCGACACTTGTGTTTCCGGTCTAGGAACATGGCTGCAGGTACCTGGACAATTATAAATAATAACTCAACAGGCGCATCTGATTCGTCAACAAGACTTGGTGACGCCGACGCTCTTCAAGTGCGTCGCAATTAAACTACATGCTGTGCAAGCCGCTTCTCATCAACACCCATTCCGGGAGCTGAGGGCCATCTTGCATGGAACAATGAACACTTGCGCAGTGTCACGATGCCACGCCATCCCTGGCTGAGCTCGAGCCCGGGGTCGGGGTCGGCTCGGGGTCGGGCTCGGTGGCAGGTTCAGTCTGCCATGATCCGCAGTATTATGCACTCGGCACCGTTTTGCGAAGGACGTCCGGGCAGAAGCGGCTCACGGCTGTGCGCGCGCAGCACGTGGTCGCATCACGCGGCACGGCAATGCCGGTCCGGAATCATCACGGGTCCTCGACCGCTGTACGGTGCACCGACCGCTGTGCTCCGTACTTGCCCAGGCTGGCACGCCCCTGGGTGGGGTCGGCGCACTCGCATTCATTGATGATGATGCACCAATCACCGCCAACCCCGCCAACTGCTCGCTTCCATGCACATGCGTGGCTGTGCTCCTTCCTCCTCCTCAAGTCCGCAAGCACCAGGCAGGCAGGCACCAGACACCACCGCACCGCACCGCACCGCATGAACGAAGAACCGAATTGCATTCAGTCCGACCTCTTGCGACATCACGAATGAACTCGCCAGAGACTCGTCATCGCCCTCGACCTCGCCCTTCCAGTGCCCATCCATTCTCGCCTACCCATTCCCTCCGGCACCGGCACCTCCAACCTTGAACGCGAGCAAGCCATCGTCACTCCAGACGTCGTCCGGCGGCCAACCTCACCCAGCTTCCCGCCCAGCTCCCATGGCCATGCTGCCGGCACGCTCCGTCGTCAAGCTTGAAGCCCGGTCCTTGAGCTAGCGAGACGCAGTTCCGACATGCCACCTCGCCGTTCGCACAAGAAGTCGCGCGCTGGATGTCGCAGGTGTAAAAATCGCAAGATCAAGGTGAGACCGCCTCCCCCCCTCCTCCTCCATGCACATGTAATGCAATGTACACTGGCAGACCTACCTGGGTGCTCAAGTAGTTAGATGCTAACCAGTCGAATCAACGGCTCTTTCAGTGTGACGAGGTGCACCCAAGATGTGGCAACTGTTCCAAGCACGGCGTCATGTGTGACTTTGAAAGCTCCGTTCTTCTCGACCAGCTCGCCGCTCCCGCCACGCCTTCGGCAACAAGTCCATCTCCGTCCCCTGCGCAAGATGCAACTTTGAGCGTCCCGCGGCCATCACCATCGGTGGCCTCGCCTTCCCAGGCGCGGGCAACGCCCGTGGTCTCTCAGCCGGAGCCAGATACGTCGAGACCTGTGGACAGGCTGCTGGAACTGCGCCTTCTCCATCAGTACACCACCAGCACGTGCAAGACGTTGCTCACCAGCTCACCCGCCACGGATGACATTTGGCAAAAGGCCGTGCCTGACATGGCCTTCCGAGGCAAGACCTACTTGGCTGACGCCATGCTCTCCGTGGCAGCTCTGCATCTACGATCACAGGCGCCCACCGACAAGGCCCTGGTTCGGGCATCGCATGCGTATTCTGCGTCGACACTGGCGGCGTATGTTGGAACCTTGAACAATGGCATCACGCCCGACAATGCCGAGGCGCTCTTTCTGACTGCCGCGCTGATTGCTTTTCAGGCTACGGCACAGCGCATTTTCATCAAGGACGACACGGAAACGACGGCCAAAGACGCGTCCAGTCGATACACCACGCCCATGGCCTGGTTCCATGCGTTTCAAGGCGTCAAAACCGTTGTTGCGACTTCTTGGCAATGGATACGCAACAGCAACATCGTCCAGGCCGTTATCGACTCGCAACCAAGCTTTCAGCTGGATCTGAACCCCCTGGGTCCCAATTCCTTTTTTGGCCATCTCTTGGACGGCCTGGACGATGAGCTTGCAAATGAAGGCCAGGACAAGGCGAGCGCCACTAGTCAGGGCTACTTCCACGCCGTCAGCGTCTTGAATTGGGCTCACAAAAACCCCTTTGCCCCGGCGGCGCTGGCCTTTCCCGCCACTGTATCCCGCAGATTTGTCGAGGTGGTTGAGGAGAGACGCCCCCGGTCCCTCGCCATCCTGGCCTGCTTCTTTGCGCTCCTCAAACGCATGGACAGCGTATGGTGGCTCGAGGATGTCACGCGCCGCGAGGTCATGGGCCTGGTCAGTCTATTCGAGTCGGGCTCTCCATGGTGGAAGCATCTGGAATGGCCAGTGCGTATTGCCCTTTGGGACGGAGGGACGATACCGCCCGACGTTTGGGGCGTGGACTATGAAAAGGAAGCCGAGTCGAGCACGGGCAACGGCGACACCATGGTCAGCCACATTGAATTGTTCTCCAAACTGACGAGCAATCCACAAGCATCTGCATCCATGTCAGCACAGGCCGAGCTGGAACTGATGGTTGTGCCTCTCGATTAGGACTTTGCAGGTAACGCGATTTTGCACGGATATCGCCCGGCGTTGGGAGACTATGGGACACGAAAAGGGATGACTTCTGGCGCGGCCTTGGGTAATTTTTTTTGTTTTCGTCCGTCGTGTAATGTTTATTCATGCATCGAAGCCAGTGCAAGGAATCTTGCTTGTATAGGTATCGTGTATCGCAGCCTCACGGTATACCAATCCAATCCATCATGTCACGGTATCAGTGGACGCTGGTGAAACACACGTCCCCGTACGTACAGATGAAATGGCTCCTAACAACCAAACTGAACAAGACGCACGCGGATTTACCAGCCCCAAAGGTTGTTGGCCGGGCTGCCCGTACGTGTGTAAGAGACGCCGAAACTCCAGACCCCCTATGCAACAAGAGCTGCCCCGGGTCAAACCCGCGCCCTAATTCTTTGTCCTCTTGGTATCAACGTCCGCAATTACATCTTGTACCAACTCCTCCCCGTCGTCTCTCGATCTTTTCAAGCCCTTCATCTTCCTCAGCTGCAGCTGGCTCAAGTCTTGCTTGCCCAAGTGCACCCTGCCAATCTTGTCGCCCATGGAGTCCGTCGTGATGTTCTTCTTGGTCCGCTCCTCCAGACCGCGCGCCTTCTTCATGGCCTCCTTCAACATAGACTCGTCGGGCTCCTTGACACGGCCGACCCTAAAGTCCATCCTCGGTCCGATCTCCTCGACCTCCACCCGGGGCAGCTTCTGCCCGCTGCGCCTCGTCCGTATCATGTAGGCGCGTAGGTGTATGGCGGGCTTCGCCTCGCCGTCGCCCGCAGCATCCTCGGCCGTCACGGAAACAATGTACTGCAGGCCCTCGACGTCAATCTTGTCCGATGGGTCGCCCCTGAAGAAGTCGATCAGCAGGCTCTTTGCCAGAGTGTACTCGTCCGAGACGGGGCTCTCAAACGCCGTGCCCGCAAAGAGGAGCATCGGGCGCAGGCCAATGGCGAACTTCTTGTTCTTGAACTGCGCCATGGTCCGGAACGTCTCCGGGTCGAGGTACAGCTCCAGCATGTCGAGGACCTTGTAGCCAAACGTGCGGATCAGGGTCACGGCGTGGGGGCGCTTCTTCTGGCTGCTGCCAAAGACGAGGAGGGAGGCGTCGTTCTTTTCCGAGAAGAACTCGAGCGAGGTGGCGTCCTCGAAGGGGTGGATGGGGTTCTTCTTGGTGAATTTCTTGGCGAGCGGGAGACGGAGTGAGTGGAGGTCGCTGAGGGCGTCCTGGACGACCTGGGAACAGGACGAGCCGCGGAGGAAGAGGCATTGCTTGGGGTTCTCGACGGCTTTGGCTTCCCGCCTCTCGAGGGCTCGCTTGGAGCGGGCGTTGCGAGGTTTTCTGGGCACAGTGTCAGGTTGTTATTTTTTTTTTTTTGTACTTGGTTTCGGCGAATTGTCTGGGACTCTGGTCTGCGGCATTGACGTACACTTGACGGAGCATTTTTGACTGCGTGGCCTTTTCTCGTGCCCGCAGACCGTGAATGCTGGTTGCTACTCGGGATGGGCAGCTGCCGTGACGAAATGTGAGTCCAAAAAAAAAAAAAATGAGAGCGAGAGAGAAAAGTTGTACGTCAACGATGCGTATCGATAAGCGCGCCTCTGCCAAGACGTTATGTGCACGGCGCCCCACCCGGCGTCACGTGTCGGGCACCGATTGGGAAGTTGGCGGGCGCGCGGCGGGTGGCGGAGAAACAAGTCCACCGTTGGGGCGAAGACCGGGGCCGGACTGGACTGACACTGGACTTTGCCTGGCTTGCCTCGGTACTTTCCTCCCACAGACCGAACTGCGGTTCTGACAAACCGAGTCCAAGACAAAACTGTCCTCGGCCTCCTCTCTGATCTGCCCATTTGCCTCCTTTTCTCTTCTTCGTCTTGCGCACGCTTCCCAGTGACTCGAGTCGTCGTGCTGATAAGGCTGACCTGCTCATCCCCGGCGATAAAAGCCTGTCGTTTCACCCGCCACCCGTCACCCTTCACCCTCGACCAGACCGACACCCCGCACACACCAGCGAATTCCGAAAATCATGTCGTTTATGGGAGGCGCGGAATGCTCCACGGCGGGGAATCCCTTGAGCCAGTTTCAGAAACACGTCCAAGATGACAAGACTCTGCAGCGAGACCGGCTTGTGGGAAGAGGACCCGGTGGTTCGATGGGTGGCTTTCGAAGCCAGGCTGCCAATGCTCCTCAGGACGAGGTACCGACCCCCCTCTTGTCTCCCCCCCCGGGACCGAGTGTCAATCCGAAACTGATGAATGATGATCCTGTGTGCGTTTACAGATGATGAATGGCTTTCTCAATGGCGGCCCGACCCTCCAACCGGAATTCCCTATGCAAGCGGGACCTGCTCTGAGCCCAGCACAACATGCCCCGATGCGCGCCAGCTCGGCCTCGCCGTCGTGGGCTCAAGATTTCAACAGTCAGCCAGGCATGGAGTCGGCTTTCAAGCCGCCCCCCGGAGCTCACTTCTCGTCGGATGAATATGCCCGATTCCAAGGGCTGAATGGTCAAGCGTCGTCAGCTCGGTCCAGTCCAATGCAGAATGCCAACTTACCCAGCCAGATGCCCCAAAGGCCAATGATGGGAGTCGGTATGGTGAATATGGGCATGGGCTACGGCCAGTTCCAACCCATGTATCAGAACCAGCCCCCGCAGCAGCACCAAGCCAAGGGTAAAGGCAAGTTGGTAGAGTTGGACGACAGCAAATGGGAAGAGCAGTTTGCCCAACTCGAGCTCCAGGATCAGGAGGCAGAACAGCTCAAGCAGAGGGAGAAGGAGCATGACGAAGCCAACGCAGCTGAGCGGGAACTTGACGAGATTGACAAGGCAATGCAATCTGAAACGAATGAGTTTGGTGACTTCGAATCCCTCTGGAAAGGAATCCAAGCTGAGACGGCTGCTGCTAGGTCCATGGTCAACGACGATACTTTTTTCGACGAGTTCGATACCGAATGGAGCAACGACAACATCCCCCGCGACTTCTCCATGGGAGACTGGGGCCGATTCGGCGATCCCGTCGTCGAGAGCTACTTGTTCGAACAAGAAAACTTCTTCCGCGACGAAAAAAACGCCTTTGACGAAGGTGTACGGGTCATGAAGGAGGGCGGAAATCTATCCCTTGCCGCCTTGGCATTTGAGGCCGCGGTGCAGCAAAACCCCAACCACACCGAGGCCTGGGTGTACCTGGGCAAGGCCCAGGCTCAGAACGAAAAGGAGACGGCTGCAATCCGTGCCATGGAGCAGGCCTTGAAGCTGGATCCTAACAGCCTGGAAGCATTGATGGGCCTGGCGGTATCATACACCAACGAGGGTTACGACAGCACCGCGTACAGGACGCTGGAGCGCTGGCTGTCAGTCAAGTACCCCAACGTCCTGGACCCCAAGGATCTGCATCCAGCCTCGGAGCTGGGCTTCACAGACCGGCAAATCCTTCATGAAAAAGTAACAAAGCTGTTTATTGAGGCTGCTCGGCTTGGTCCCGATGGAGAGCACATGGACCCCGACGTCCAAGTCGGCCTCGGCGTCTTGTTTTATGGTGCAGAAGAGTACGACAAGGCGGTGGACTGCTTCCAGTCGGCGCTACATTCATCAGAGTTGGGCACGTCAAACCAACAGGAACAGGTTCATCTGCTCTGGAACCGACTCGGGGCCACGCTGGCAAACAGCGGGCGCTCAGAAGAAGCCATTGCGGCCTACGAGCACGCGCTTTCTCTGTCTCCCAATTTCGTTCGGGCCCGTTACAACCTGGGAGTGAGCTGCATCAACATCAACTGCCACCAGGAGGCGGCTTCCCACTTCTTGGCTGCCCTGGAGATGCACAAGTCGATTGAGAAGTCTGGACGGAGCAAGGCTCACGAGATCCTCGGCGACAATGCCGGCAGCAACGTGGACGAGGTTATTGACAGGATGTCGGCACAGAACCGCAGCAGCACATTGTATGATACTCTAAGACGAGTGTTTACTCAAATGGGGCGCAGAGACTTGGCTGAGAAGACGGTCGCAGGCGTTGACCCTGACATTTTCCGACCAGAGTTTGATTTTTAGATGACGGGGACACGAAGCGCGTTTCTCTCTTCTTCTTTTCTTCCCTCCTTCATTCCTCTCCTGGAGGGAGGGAGAGACAGAGAGATGGATGGGCGGGTACAATTTGGACCTGGAAACGATGAGCTGCTTTATTTACATGGCATTGTCATTGTATAAAACTACAGACTTTATGGCGCAAGGCGGTCCCGGGTAGGGTAGGAGTTGTAATTGACGACGAGTATGACGCGATAGCAAAATGGCCGTTGATTTGACGATCTTGAGAGGCAACGCAACGACGGTGATTTTTTCATTGGCATTCATGTCCACGTACCCAGTCACCTCACTCACCATGGTGAAATGCTCTGACAGTCGTCGCAACCCTACACTCACTCACTCAGGGACTGCCATCTGCCAACATGTCATGTTGCCCGCTGCCTGTCCAAGTTCATGTTGCTTGCTACCTGTCCAAGTCGCCAAGCGGCCACGGTCGCATGCAGGGCCAGATCTTTGCCGCTCAGCCCTCGGGGGTGCTTGTTTCACAGCACCCGTGCAAAGACATGCCCGCTGGAGCGGCTGGGAGATTGACAGACTGTCGCTCGACGAATAGCCAATGGCTGCTGAGCCAGTCAGTACTCGTGAGTCGTTACTCCGTACCGAGACTGCAACTCGCGCCGCCTTGGCCCCTGTCCATTGCGGGATGCGCCTCAGAGACCGGCGGGACCAGCGGGACGACCATGCGCTGGGATTGTGAAGAGGCGGGCGGGATTAGCCGACCCTTGCATGTCATTGGACGCTGCGCGAGGAGCCCTGTCTGTTGAAGCGGTTGGTCGTTGTGGAAGTGAGTAAGTGATTGTTTCTTGTTCCTTTTTCCTTGAGCTGCTTGGCGGTTGAAACCTGTTTTTTTTTTTTTCTCTTTTTTCAGTGTAAAACAGAAGACACACCAAAAGGGAAAAACAAACCATGAGAAGAAACGAAACACAGGGAAAAGAAAGGAAAAGGAAAAACATTGCTATAATTATCTGAGGCACAGCGCAGCGCCGGCACGCCTGACTAAAGTAGCCGCCGCATTAAATCAGGGGAAGCGAGATGGATGCTCCGGACGTACATGATGAGAATGCATGATCCCAGCGTCGAAATGAGAAGCAAACTGCGTCCTAGCATCAGTATAGTGCTTGACGCAACATAAAAGAGATCCGGATTGCTCCTTGTACTCGTGCCACACATGCCGTCCAGCGACGCCCCGTCACGGTGGCTGGCTAGCTTTTCTTCTTCTCCTCTTCTTGATGGTGTTTTTGCAAAGTGCTCACGCCATATCGAGACTGGGGCGGGCTGGTCGGCGATGCAACCGTTGGGCTGGGTTGGGGACGGGAACAATGGCCTCATACATGGTCTTTGACAAGTGAGACCTGCTCCCCAGATACCGGAACACCTCAACCAGATGACACGACCACACAGCACATCTGTCTGCACGTAACGGGTGCCGCGCGGTGTCGGGGCCTTCGCTCGGCTAGTTTCCACGAAGCCGGTACGGTGGCGTGTGAACTGATCGCACCATCTGGTGGTCCCCTTCAAGTCCAAGCCCAGCAACGAACGAGCTCAAGGGCGGTGTGGCCGTGTGCGTATGCGTGTGCGTGCGCGCGTGCGCAGGCATGCCTGTATGCCTGTATGCCTGCATGTGTCGCTTGGTGGGTTGGTCATCAAGTCGATCAGGCCATGACCATGACGTTGCACTGTCCTTGCTCCTCCTCTCCCTCCTCCCGGCCCTTGATCGGTGAAAAGTGACACGAGCTGCGCCGTCGTCTGTATGTCGGCATGTACCGAGTACTCCGTACCCTTTGTTGTACGTAGTATATCCAAGGAGGGCGTGTGTGCTCCGTACCGACAGAAACCAGTCCCAGGAACCAGGGGCACCCCGAGGGCGACGTGACCACGTCCCTTGTCTCTCCATGAGCACTTGATTGATGGCTGCCTGACACTCCCGTAGGACCACGGAGATTACGGTCATGTCCAAACTTCTCCAACGTTTGGTCAAGACTCAAGCGTCCGTCGTCTTCACCGCCATTGTGGAATAACCACCATGGCATCGCCCAGGTCGTCACCGTCGCCACCCATGCCGCTGGGAGGAGAAACGGCCTGGCCGGGCACCGTCTAACTTTCTTCACATTTTGACGTCGGAATTTGGGGCGGCAAAACAGTTTGGGGATACTATACAACCGACCGATGCCCGCGCTCCGTGTGTCGTGCACATCAACCTTGCAAGACAAGCTTGTGGTTTGTTCTGGCTCACTCTTGTTTCAATTTCCTGAGACAACTGGAGAGGCAAGGGCCAGACGGCGCCGCAACTGGGCCTTGAGGTCAAGCCGTGATTGCACCTTTGCCCAACTTTGCCGTGTTCCGGTCCGTCGCTTTTCTTGCATTCGAGGCCCAAGTAACCAGTCCGATATGTGCAAGTACGGCATCACTACATGTCTGCATCTCCTCGAGCGGCTGATGACTGGCCGACAAACTTGTCGTACAAGTCGCCATTGATCCGAACCATTGGGCGAGTCCTGTTGTACAAGTGAAACACCACCACCATTGAGATCGGCAACCTTTCCAGGAAAGAAGGAATCTCTCGTTCGGCAAGCTACCTACTCCGCAATGGTTTTGGGTCCGATGAAGGCACCCGAAGTACTGTTGCAAGAGCGCATTGGCCCGTGGCTTGTCCGCCTGAGAGCGCTGACAGACTGATTGTGAATATTAATTGATGCATACCGAGTAAAGGGCACCATAATCGAGTCCACGTCTCTCGGAGCGTTCAAAGCACGTCAGGGGTAGTTCAGTCTCGACAAAGAATACAGACAACAGCTGCCTGCGGCCACACAGGACAAGACCCTCATTGCATCGGCAGGGTCTCGAGGCCTCGAGAGAATACGGTGGGCGAAGTTCTCTTGAGGGGGCAATGGGTCAAGGATTCGTGTCCAGATCCCTTTTCCAGGCATCGAATAACGAGTTTTGCCCAGGACCTGGATGGGAATGCCTGGGGGAAGTGTGGCATATCTCCGGCTTTCCTGAACAGTTTACGCCCCTTTGCATCTATATCGCCTTTCCGTCTTGAGGGCACAAGCACGGGAACGGCCCCGGGAGGGATCTGTTATGTGTGCAAGGTCTGGTCTGTACTTTTAGCCGCCGGTTACTCAGTATGCACTGCTAGTAACTCCGCTAGATACACATACTACCCATGGTCGACTCTTTGAGGAGAGTACCGATCAGTGAGCCATCTGTTATTATCTGTTTGAGACAGTCGTCCAGATCCAGATCTTTTGTCCATAGTGTAAGCATGTCTTCGTCGGCTGCCCCGTATGATACAAGGGTTCCTAGGTAGGTGGTTGTTACTTCGAACACTGTACTGGAACAGCAACATCTAGACAACATAATAGCCTCATGGGGCTCAGAGAATATGGTTTCTAGAGGGCATTACAAACGTACCGGCTGGAACTAGCGGCCATGAGAAAACTTCGCATTCGACGTATGCCGCTCGGCTTAGAGATGTCGAACTACAAGTGAGAACTGAGCTATATTCGCAACGCAAAGCTTTGCGTTCAGGGAGGAGCAATGTTCGGCGTGAGGGCTTTGCTTCCCGTTCTGAAAATGCCACCTTTTCTTATTGCATCTTGTGGGGGAGTGCGTGTTTGAAAGGCCCAAGCCATTCTGCAGCTAATCACTCAATGCCTGGAGACAAAACCATGCGAGACCTGCGGCTGATCATCGTACTAACATAACGGCTGACCTGAGAAAGAGTATTTTTTTTTTCCCATTCGACGCGAGGCTTCTTGTCATCACAGCAGTTAGAAGGGCCAAAAGCAATAAAAGAATTGAAGAGGAACCGAGCCAGAGCGAGAGTTGTACTTCCAGAGGCCAGTCGAACTCAGAGGATGTAATCTGCGCGGTTAAAAGCCGTAGTTGCATTCCAAGCGAGTGTCTCAAGGAGAGTCCAGGTCTTGTGCATGTCCAACAGCGCAATATGATACGTCCAAGTACGGCAACTGTCTCTGAAAGGTTGAGACTAAGACCTGGACTTCTGTCTGAGCCAGCCGACGATGGAACGTCTCCTAGACGGTACGGAAAACGCAAGCCAGGTATTCTCTGACCCTGCCCCTCCTGTGCAGTAGTGTAGTTCGAGTGAAAGGCCGGATCTTGAGTAGGGAGCGTTCTTGCATGTATCCTCAAAAACCTCCATGCTGCTCTAAAAAAGCGAACTTAGGTTTCTTCAGGAGAAGAATAACTAATCGTCTCATAGCGTTCGACGACACATGCGTCAAGTACCTCAGTCATGAAATTAGTCAAGGCTCCTCCGTATGTAACGAGGCAGCCAGTCCAACGATACACCTTCCACTCAGTGAATGCGCTTGGGGACTCTGTTGCAACAAGAGCCGCTCTGTGTGAACGCAAGGGTGTGGTGACGACCAAACATGTGTCAAACACAAGCTAACTTTGGACATGACTGGCCTGTCTGTACAAAAGAACTGCCTGAGAAACTTGCTGCAGCGCGGTGGTGCGTCTAGTGTGCTTCCCGTTGGTCTTGAACTGCAGGTGGGTGATCTTTTTCCGAGCGAATGTTGATGAGATTGCAGTTCCTGGTGGCGTCTCGGCGGGGTGTTGTGATCGGCCGAGTGCTGCCAGTCCATGTCCGTTGTCGTCATTCTCAACCCTTCATCTTTCCCCGCCGAATACGGAGCAGTGCCAGGGTATTGTAACATCGATTTAAACCCTTGTTCGCAACCTAACATGCTGTGATGCCTGTCTTCTTCTTTTCACACCGTGTCACAATGCCGAGAATTTCATAGCCTGGATTAGACTTCTAGTTTCCGTCGCCGTTGTGCCACAACTGTCTTATCGGTGCTTGTGCCAGGCCGTGGTGCGTTGACATGAGATATTTGTCGGATGGGCTCTGCAGTACAACTTGATCTCGATCGTCGCATTCCCGTTTCCAATTGTTCATTGTTTTTTTGCCAATCGAAACTGGGCAGTTCGCAATTTCG